CCATTTATTCCAGTCAACGGGATATTTTTCTCGTGACAGGGAGAATATCTGTTGGCTCCATTAATGCAAAGATATGTCCATTTAAAAGCAAGGGGGGGGGTTGTGCTCACAAGAAATCGCTGCTGTTGCGTGTTTTCTTTAACATATACAGTATTAACTTTAAGGGAGGTGTGAAGCGAGGTGGAGGTGTGAATATGGGGAGAATGAGGAAGTGGGGAGATGAGAAGGACAGGATAGTGAATGAGGGAAAGATGAGAGTGGAGGTGTGAAGCCGGGCATTGTATTTAATATAGCTTCTGCCTTTTTACTTTCTGAGCTTTGAGATGAAGGCGTCAGTGAAAGTGCAAATTGTCTTGATTCGACTGCGGGTTTTCTGCAGTAGGCAAAGAAATTATTAAGAACATCAAGATAATTGTGATAATCTATGCAGCGTAATATTTGTGGTAAACTTGCAGTTTTCATTACAGCATTTAATTGTCAGTTTTCTGTGAAAGCCACTATTTCATACGCTTTTATATATTAAGTAATTTTTTCTCTTCAAGGTTGATTATCGAGGACTAAGAACTATTTTTCTATAGAAATATTTCAAGTTAAGAAATATCTAAGCTATGGTATTTCTAATTTGCTTCAAAATGGTTGTTTAAGTTTATTGTTTTAATGAAACATACAAATAAAATGTATTTTTATTGGTGAGATTTTGATGTAATATCATAGTTTGCAATAGCCAATAGTATACAATGTAAACAAAATACAACTTACAAAAATAATGGTACGTTTTTAGATTTCATTAGGACATTTTACTTTTAATACTTCCATCCTTCCTTCCTTCCTTAAAGCCACTGTATTTTAAATCTGAACATTTCCAACTTTAGATGTCCTCAGTCAGACACTGCAGCAGACAGCAATGCATACAATTCCAACTGAGCTGAAAGCAACACATAGATTGCACCAATTTTCACTGAGATTGTCCCTTTTTGTTCTACAAATAAAATCAAACCAAACAGAATCCGTTAAAGGAGGCTACACATATGGCTTGGAGTAAACACATCAGTCCTTTTACTTCTGAATGAATATTCTTCTATTGAGGTATTGATGATACTGTATTATAGTGGCAGCCCTCTGTAGTAGTTCTGGTGGCTATACTATCATTTCACTGCTGTGGTTTTATTCCTATGCAGTATTCTTGTTTTCATTTTTACATTCTCGTATGTATTGGTGTTTTATGTGTGCCGTATAAGCTACTGGATGTCTACATGTCCTTTAGGATCAATAAAGTATCTATCTATCTCTTTAGCTGTAGTTTTAAATCAGAATTTTAGTCGTTTGTCCAAATCCACCTTCAAATAAAACCCTACCAGAAGGTTGCAAGGTTGATTGCAAATGTTTGATTTCAGCTGTCTTTTTTCAGTTGTCAGCAAGGAAGACATCATCTGTTCGGCCAGCCAGCAGTGTGATGTCACAGTTGAGCACACATGTATGAGCACGTGGGACACACACACACACACACACACACACACAAACAGCCATACACAGTGCACAGAGAGGCCACTGTAACATGAGAAGTGTCTCTCGCCAGATTCTCCTGGTCACACCTGGCTGAACAATACACTAATTAACCCTGATTTCACTTAGCAACTCGGGGAGCACACAAATACACACGTACACACACAAATTAATTTGGACACACAATAACCCGACATGAACACACAAATGAAAAGGCATGCAGATACACACCCAGAGACAAATTAAGCTGCACACAGATGATCCCAGCACATGTGAATGGAGTGAATGAAAAATCTCAAAAAATACACAAATGCACATATCAAGGACAATAACTCACACACACACACACACACACAAATTTAGCAACACACACTGCATGCACAGAGCGCTTCAGGGAGGTGTGCTCACTGATGTGTGTGTGTAATATTGAATATCTCTCTTGTTCGCTGTGTTGGCATGGGCTATTCCCCTGGCACAATGCATGGCTGACAGCACCTGAGCTTCACACGCACGCATGCAGCACACACACACACACACACACACACACACACACACACACACACACAGGACCAACTCATACATGCCAAGAGACACATTCAGCAGGGTAAGCAACACACACACATTTGGACGTCAGGAGAAGATTCTGTGTGTTCTGCTAACAGATGGTAATGACAGTTTCAGTCCCTGGACTATCATCTAATCAAAACAGCACACGCTCACACATACACACAAACACACACATACACACTCCAGCCTCCCCCCAGATTAAACATCCTTCACACCAAATAAGGTTAACAGCATAATTCATACTAAATATGCATTGAGAACATAATTTAGGCCAATGTGTTGCTACATTTAAATGTATTTCAGTGATGCAATTTAAATTCCATTAAAAAACAAACACAGTTCAGCCCCCCTGGCATCACATGAAGATATTCTCAGGTTTAAAAGAAATAGACATAATTCACATTAAATATGTTAAGGTAGATATATGTGTTTGTCCAGATGCATCCCAGGAATCTAATTTAAACTTCATTGAAAGCATTTTATCATTAGAAAGAACACTAATTCCAGCCAATAATGATAAAAAGTGTAAGTGGTCATGTTATATACAAACCACTTCTTTTTACCTCAGGGTATACATTTGTGTGGAGGTGCAACAAAGAATGTTGTCAAAAGACAACCCCAGTGAACCAAGCAACCAACCGAGCATAAACTCAGCTTTACAGTGACTGAGCACACTGGTCAAGGATACTTTAAAAGAGAATACAACGTTAGGGAGAGGTATTTCTGCTGGTTAGCTTATGTTTTAAAAGATAAGAGAGAGGAAAAACATCTGTGGCTGTGGTCGATTGTTGTACTCTAGGCTAACACATTACACACGTAGCATCAAATATGTTAAGTGATAGTGAGTCAGTTATAACACTTATAGTGTTAGTACATTAGCATACAATAATGTATCAGTTCAAACCCTTTAGCATGCACTGTTTGGCGACAGATGTGCGGTAGTTGGCACATCCGGCCTGCAAGATGCATCTCTGCCACTGTCATCTTGCGGCGGTGCTCTGGCCTGTTTAGATGCCAGACTTTTGCGCCGCTTTTGGATTTTCAAATGAAAGAAATGGCAAAAACAAAACAAAAACAGTTGACGCTAAAATAAAGTTACATTCCTGAAACTATAAGCTAAATGTTTTTATTAAAGTTATATATCAGCAATATGCTGAGAATAATATATACATCATCATTCATCTTTTTACACATTTATATTATATTATTTATATTATATCCGCCAGTGTTACTATCAACACAAGATAAAGTATTTGGGTTTAAAAACCAGCACTGGTTGAAAGTTGGTCGACAGTTCAGTGAGTAATGATGATCTTAAATTTGGATAGACCTCGCGTGGCTTCCCTGTGGCAGTATGGCAGCAGCGTTGTCGCATCACTCCAACGAACAGCCAATGTGGTATCTACCTGTGTATGTGAGAGATCGGAAGCTCATGCTTACCTTTTAGCAAACACTATGTTGACCTGTAGCGGGCTTGGTGAACTAGTATACACTTTGGGAGACACAATTTTGCATTCGACAAAACGATGTCAGGAGTAGTTTAAAAGAAACGTTTCTTTATCATCTCACAAGTAAAGTCCGTACGCTGAAGGTGGAGACACAGAGTGCAATAGAAGTAGACTGGGAGAGGTAAAGGAATGTAATTATGTTTGACAACAACAGATAGCTGCAATGCTATAATTCTATCAAAAGCCTTACAACAACATTATCCAACCTCCTCAGTACATCAAAATCCGTCTCAGCAGGACAGCACTGTATTTCCTGCTGTTCACATGAACCATGGGATGAAGAGTGGGATGGTAAATCACAGAGATTCCTTTATATTTCTGCCCCATATTGAGTGCGAGTGCAGAGCTGAGTAGATCGCATTAGAGGATTTGAATGTCCTCAGCGAGGGGATTTGTTGAGCAGCACAGATAAATACAGGAGGGACACAGGAAACAAGAGGTGAGAAGGGGTGAAAGGAAAACATTGAAGAAGGGAAAGGAAAGGACTGGCAGGGAAGAGAAGGAGTAAAGAATAGTTTTTCTATTTGTGTTTAATATAATCGTTGCTTTTGATTTTACATTTTAATTTAGATGAAGTAGTTTCCAAGTGAGATAAAATAAAATGTATTGGTGTTTACCAACATCATGTTTTCTCTGCTCGTTCCTGCACCATTAAAACTGTCGAGCACTTACTCTGTTTATTTATTTATGTGCTTATATAGTTATATCTTACACTGCCTTTTTTTTCATAACTACATTACATGATGAATTGATAACTTGTCTAACACGTTACACATATATGGGGGTGTAAGAGGAAAAAGATAGAACTCCATCATCCCACCTTTACCTGTGGGGGTGGACTCGGGGGGGGAGGGGTACCTGTATTCCTGCCAAACTACTCATCAAGAAGAAATGTTTGGAAATGTCAAACTCTGACACTTTTCAGACAAAATGAACACCTTAAGCCACTAGAGTAGTATATATTAATATTCAGAGAAATAAACAAAGTGTTGTTATCTATTTCAAACCTTGACAGAAAGGGAAGAAACACAGGATAAAATAAAGTGAAAGACCGACATAAACTGAGTGAAAAAGGGCTCATTGTGAGTTCTAGTCACTACTCTGAAGTCTGTTCAGTATTCCTTCCTCAGCATTCTCACAGCACTAATGAGCAACAGCCAAAACACACACACACACACACACACACACACACACACACACACACACACACATATACACACAACCACACAACCCAGGCTTGTTTCTCACTTTCTCTACATTAAAGAAGTTGTCCCATTTTACAGCATTCACACTGATCGGATTTGTCAAGCGCTGCTCTTCTTTCGCCCATTTAAATTCACCTCAAACACTCTGCTTTTAAGTGACTGGCAGTTTGCCTTCCACTTGTACTTCATATGGAACTGGATAAACAGCAGAATGTACCTTTAACGATGAGGTCGGCATAGTTGGACACGCCTGACCCGCCGTCTGATCGGATGACGCAGCGGTAGCGGCTGGTGCTGCGCTGGGATGTGTCTCCAACGCTGACGGTTGCCGAGAAACGCCGGTGGTTCACCACCCTGGTCACCATCAACGCCGTGTCCCTCCCGTTCCATTGCTGCGTGATGGGAAAGATGAGAAGATATTGACAAAAGCCTTGTGGCATGTTCTGACCGATGCTGACCAGGCTGTCAGAGCACATTGTAAAAGGCTCAAGATGGCTGCTTTCTCCTAACATCAAAAGAAATTTTAACTTAAAGGATTTCTGAAGAGATGCTTTGAAGTGTGAAAGGTGGTTAACTGTTGTCAGTTTTCTTTCAATTTACAGTGATTACTAGAGACACATCAACAAAGGACACAGTAATGACCCCATATTAATATCAAAGACCAGGCAGTAAACAGAAGCAATTTAAACTGAGCAGATCAGACATTAAACTGAAAAATGTACTGCTGCCACTTTCTGCTTTGCATACGATCCCCATATCTCCAGATCCAATCTCCTTTTACCACTGTAGTATTATCTGCCAATTTAGAGAAACATGCTTTGCCCAACAGACCTCCAGTCGGGAGGTCACTGCTCTCCATTGTAAATGTCATTACTGTACACAGCAGGGTTCTCAGTAGTATACACTCATGTGCAGTGAAAACATGCAAGCGTGCCAGTGCACATGAATTTAAACTAGAATGAGTAGGGAGGCACGGATACACAAAACAAATATACACACACACACACTTGTCACTGCAGAGATGGAGTCATCGGTGCGTAGCAGAACAAGGACTTTTAATCAATCCTGAAATAGAGCAGGGAAGGCTGGGGATGTTTGCCACAGAGTACTTTTTTTTATAAAATGTTATAAATATTTCATAATTGTATTTTCTGCATTGGGCTTTTAGAATTCATATTCTATATTGCACAATATTCAATAGATTAATGGATTCTGGACTCTGATTGGCTGCCAAGAGTCCATCAGAATCATACAAAAGTATAACTCACGTAAAGTTCAGGTCAAGTTATTTAGTTTAATTACTCTTCTAAATCAGTGCCTAAAGTAGAATAAGCTATCATGAATAACAGCACTGCTACTCAACATTAAACTTAATACATTCAAACTTTAGAAAATTGACTAAAAACATAGCGTTTTTCTAAAAGTAAGTGACCATGGAATAAGAGCCATAATATACACTGAGGCATCCTGATATTGAAAAAAAATAGACTTTTGGCACACACACTTTGCAGTGTTTAACTTTAGAAAAAATTATAGAAAAATATGTGTAAATATACAATAATGATCATATTTAGGATTATATTAGATTATCCTGTAGAAGTACTACTTACTGGACTACACTAGGATATACCTCGGAGCAGCATTAGGTTTAACATATCTTTCACAAAACACACAATCTGCCACTGAAAGACAGAATTGCTTATACGTTATCAGTTTTAGAATATTTGACCACTTACGGCAGTCAGACCTTTCTTTACACAACTTCTGCATGTACACCTCCTGATATCATTCATGCACATTTACCGATAAGAGTGTACTGACCTGTAGCCAGAGTTTATCATGCTGAGACCATTTCCCTCCAGCAGTACACTGAAACGTAGCATTCTGACCCACGTTCACCTCCACATTCTGCAGACGCAGGAAGTGAGGGGCTTTACCTGCAACATACACAGAAAACACACTGTAGAGATAAAAATGGTATTTTTCTTGCACCAATCGAATTGTTAACGTGACACTTTGTTGGGATGATGTAATGCTGCTGATGAATCGCTTCTGACATGAGTTTCTTTTAATTGCAGATCACCAGTTCCCCAGACCATATAGACTTGAACTTTTTTTTATTGTGTCTCTGTTTCCGATTTATAGCAAATATATTTTCTTTTTCGGGTGCTTGAGACGCATTCAAAGTTCCATAATCACATATCAAAGAGATTGTCGGGCTACTGAAAGATTCCATCTAGTTATAAAAGACATGGTAGATTCACACTGGATTATAATAGCAGATGCCACTGGTAATAAGAAACAGTGCTTGCAGGAAAACCCACAACAATAGTAATCCAGCTCAAACAGGGCTTAAAATTGTTGTCTGGACTGAGGCAGAGAAATTCGTGGGATGTAAGAGGCAGAGCAGGCAGACAATGAGACAGACTACGAGACATTGGGTGACATTGGCCTGGCATTGAAACCATCCAGCGACTGGTTAATTTCATTTCGACTGTCTGCAGACAGAGATAAGTCTAACGGAGTATGCATCGATCATTTAACAATGATAATGCGCCCTGACGCTAATGGTCAGGTTGTTGCAAATGACAATAACTTGGATATGAAGGTTGGGTTTTTTTTGTAACCTTTCTTTATTTGTGCATTCTTCTTTCTCCTCCCTCTCTTTACATTATCTCAGATTTTCTTTCTTCCATTGTAAATACCTCCACTCGCTTCCCTCTTGCTTTCCACCACTTTGACTAATCTGATTAGTGATTGGCACAGATGAGCTACGTGTTCTGTGCCAGACATTCAGAGAAAGAAGAAAAAAACAGTAGCAGAAAAAAGAACCCTGAAACAAAGACAGACGAAGAGTAGAGTGGGACATGTGGGTATATGGAAAAAAGACAAAAAGGTATATGAATAACTGGAAGAGTTAAAGGAAAAAAATGATCTAAAACAAAGTCTAAGGGAAGCATGGAAATCTAATCGTTAGCTTTCTTTAAATTCTTCAACATGAAAACAAAAACAGCTTCTGATCACAGCTGTTCTTTTTTATTTTATTTTTTATTTACTAAGCATTCTTAAATGATGTACTACAGTCTGTTATGTAGTACATTTTAGTACAATTCCCCCCTGTAGTTTGAACCGAACAGAATAAATTATCAAGTGATGGTTGGATGTAAAAGCCCAACACATGATGCCAATTAGACTAGACAGTGAGAATGCGAGAGGGTAATACTGAGTAGCCAGAGCGAGGTAAGGAGGCCACACAGTGTTGCGGTATAAGCAATCCAGAGTTTTGTGAAGCAAAGTGTTTCTGTCAGGTTTGAGTGATGAAGACCCTGGGTTTAGACCTTCTTCCTGGCTCTCTGCAATCTGTCTGCAAGCCTCACAATCTGTCCTTTACACGGCCTGTGTGTGTGTGTGTGTGTGTAAGTGTGAGATAGCTATAAAACAGATGATGCTCAGTGGGGCTACAGTTGTGCAGGGTCAACCATTATGAAACGCACACACACACACACACACACACACACACACACACACACACACACACACACACACAGTCACTTACGGCAGGGGTGAGCCAGGACTCGTATGTCGTCGATGGCGATGAAACCTGGATGGCCTTGAACTGAAACCGCCTCGAATATTACCTGAGGAGGGGAAAGAAAGAAAGGAAGGAAGAAAGAAAGAAAGAATCAGGTTGAGCCACATTTTCCTCTAAAAGCACTGAAAGAAAAAAAAAAAAAAAGAAACATTTCTTGCACAAACTGCAACATCTTGCGGCCCCTGCGAAGCTCATATGGAAACCCCAGGGGAATGTTTCACTGAAAGTCAGCAACTCTTCCTCTCTTCATGTCATCCCTTCATCCTTCTGTCTCTATCCTTATGCCAACCCCATATGCCGTTCCGCCTCCTTCTTCCTCTCGTCTTTCCTCTCCTCCTTGCCCCATCCTTCTCCCTTTTCTTCTCTCTTTCCTTTATGTCAGGCCTCCTCCTCTCTGCTCCATTTTTGATCTCTCCCCCGCTCTTTCTTTTCTCTCTATCTGCTCTTTTATCCCCTTCTTATTTTACTTGCTCTTGTGTGTCTATTTCCATTCCTCTCCCATTGCATCACTCCTTTATTTTTTTTTTCTATTTTTACATTTTCTCTCCTACACACGCTCTCAGGGTGACAGGCAGTCAGCAGGGCTGTCACAGGGCCATGCACTTCTGACCCACACATAAATACTCATACACAAACACACACTGAGGACACACACTCAACTATACCTCTGTGCTGTACTTGTCAGGATCCTCAACAGTATGAGCTGGGACTCAGTCTGAATACTAAAGACTTCTGGGAAGACTGTACTCTCTTCCTTTCCTTCAAAACATAAATCCCCCTCTCTGGCACGCATGTCAACTTTCTAGAAGTGAATGGCACTGGAATAGTTTTGTTGTTAGTGCTGTGACACATTGATTTTTTAAAAAAATGATCTGTATATATCATTTTTATCAAAAGATCTTCATGCAGATTTGACCTCACAGTGAATAAAATATAGTTTAAAAATCTGTATTTAGTGTAAAATCTGGCAATAATATACAGATCCTTCATATCTGTGATCTTTTCTTTAAGCCTGCTTTCTTATCTACTTTAAAAACCGGAGCCATGTCCCATCCTGACTCTGTTACTGCTATTTTCTAGCAATCATTTTTAACACTTGTTGATAACAATGCATTCTCAGGTGTCTCCCCAAAATACAAATGAGATGTGTGACCTTGCAGGCATAGTGGTCTCAGATTCAGGTACATGTAAGCTCATGGTCTCGGGCTCAAGTCCAGCATTGGACACACATGCTATGCTTCGGTCTTTTTGTGCTTTAATAAAGACAAACATGCAGAAGGTAATCCCTGACTTACTATCTCACTGTATTCATAGAAGAAATACTGTGTTTAATGTAAGTCTATGTGGAAAAACTAAAAATCTGTTCTTTTTTCAGTCATAGTGCAAATCCAGGACAAATCTACAACAACATACATTTCTATTAAAAACAATAGATGCTAAAACTTTAGCCTGTTCAAAGGAGAATGACAGTTTACCCTATAGTTTGTTTTGGCCCTCACAGTGGTCTGTATTTTAATATGACAATGTTTTTGTCCTTTTTGGAGAAGAAAGTGTCATTTCTCCATAGGAGGTGACTCCTCATTAGAGAGGGAAACACTCACACACATTTAATGCTCTGCGCCTACCTCAGTGTCACACATGGTGCCTTCATATACTGAGCCATGAGTCATTAGATAAAAAACAGCTGCTTTTGTGCTACCTCAGTAAAACAACACAGCAGGGTAGGTCCCTGCACCTTAAAACAGATCGATACACACACACACACACACACACACACACACACACACACACAAACAGATGGACAGCAGTACTTTTGTGTTACAATATTAAAGAAATAAACCAAGGGATAGAGACCTGTTGGTCATCTAACTACCTACCTTAAAAGATGAAACTCCGTCCATAACTCCAAACAACGGTCACACGTTAGGTTAGGCTCAACTGAGCGACTAGCATTTGTTTTTTGAAGTACTTCAGGCTCTATATCTCTTATCACGCATGTTAAAGTTTTAGCATGTAGCAATATAGTCAGTTCCTTAAACTTGCCGTATTCCTTTAAAGATGTATTATTAAGTATTTACTGCTGATTAAATTACTTACTGCTAACTGTGGAGCTATAGTAAGATATATATACTTAAGCTAAGTTTGTTATAGAATGTTTCAAGTTGAATCTTCAAATGAAGTTCAAATCTGGCAGTATTTGCAGTTGGCTAGAGTCTGGATGAAAGAATGAAAACACATTTTATTGTACCATGAGTTACTTACTGTAGTTAGATCCACCATCTGTCACCATCATCAAGTACACCACAGACTCTCTCCTCCCATGCTTTAAAGGGTCGGTTAACTCAAATTAATACAAAAGTGAGTATTTTCTCCTTTTTAATGTACCTTTCATACATCAGTTGTCAAAATGAATATGGGCACCTTTTGCACCTGACTAATCTCGAGCTGAATGTTCATGTCAGTAAATTAAAGTAAATCAAAAAGTCAAACAGCCTCAGGCAGGACATATGAAATATCAAATATTGACTTATCTGCCTGACACATGGCATTAGGGAGCGTAATTATAGATTTGAATCACATTAAAAGAGGAGTTAAATCTATTTTGCTAGATTATGAGACAATGATCAAAGAGGAGCAGGCAGAACTATTAGAAAAAAAATGTTTGCTCAATTATTTCTGTGTCGTTTTAATATAGGCTTCAGTATTATTGTTTTCCTCACGTGTCATAGTCTTGCTGTCAGTTTTTGCAGTAATGTTAATGGATGTTCATGCCAGCGAAAGATGTAAAGATGTGTGTCTGTGTGTTACCTGATAGGAGTTAGGCCAGAATGTAGAAATGGCCAGCTCAGCCTTCACCCAGCCTTCAGTAACAGTATCAGAGGCGTTCCATACCGGGTTACCCTGTGCGCCCCCGTTCACCTGCAGACAGACAGAGAAGACAGAAAACAATAAGCAGAGATTTAGAGGATAGAATGAGTAAGAGGGGATCTGGAGTAAAACTGTTCGACTTTTATGGAAAAACTAAAGTAAATGTGTGATTTTTCATATTTATTAACTGTATCAATAGTAGTGACTTTTATAAACAAGATGATGAGGGAACTTTCACTACTGCTGAAGGCTAATCAATCTTTACATTCCCTAACTTTCTGCTCACTAGTCTGTTCTTTCAGCACTCCACCCTCCACCAACAGCTCCCCTCTGACCTGCAGCTCTGTATTCTACCAATCTGTCCATCAGTGTTTTCAGTCCATTATATAAAACATTCACCTTTGGAGGTCTAGTTCTGTGTCTGCTCAACAATAACTGAATCCATCAGTGTACTCTTTTCTTGCCTAATGTTTTAATCATTTGATGATTTATTATTCTTAACATGCATTTGTGTCCAAAAACAATATATATAAAACATAATATGTTTTATATCTTCTTACTTAAAATTTTCATTACAAAAACACAACCACTCTGATAACCATACTTGCAGTATACTAGAGCTAACTTTATTAGTACTAAAAGAGAATAAACGAGGTCTGTCCTTTTACCCGCCTATCAGTCATTCTCTTTCCATCTCTCTCTCTCTCTCACACACACACACACACACACACACGCACACACAAACAAACACACACCCCTACATAAACATACAATGCCCCAGGGCTAACTTCATCCCTCCTTGGCAGAGAACAGAGGTCTGTTTGTCTGTTTACCTGTTCAGTCTATCAGCCCCTTCATCTGTCAATCCCTCCCTCCCTGTCAGTCACTCACACACACACAGCCTCACAAACACACACCTTGATATAGACGTTGAGCGTGCCGGGGCTGGCTCCGTCCCGGCTGGACAGGGAGTACAGGAAGTCAATGCAGTGTGTGTCATTCTCCTTCAGGGTGGGCATGTAAAGGTGAGCCTTCTGTCCTGACGCCCGGCCCGACGCGTTCACCACCATGAACGAACCTACAGCCACAGAAACAGGAAGCAAAGAGCCAGAAACAGTTAAAACATGATCCTAACAGTACAGGTGAACTTCGCTAACGGGTAGTGTTTTCAAGAAAGATTCATACAAAATTAAAAACAGTCTGTAAGATGAAGTGAATTCAGCATGAATCCACCCTGTTGTACGCCAGTCTCTAGTGATTGTGGTTTCTGCATTCCCAGTTAGGTTCAAAAAGACACTAAAGCCATACTCATATTGTATCAGTAGTAGTAGTTTAGCTTTAGGGGCCTGATGAATAGACCCTGGTGCTCATCGAGTTCTTTTTATCGTCAGCATACACATGCACAGTCTGCATAATCAAAGATTCTGTGCTGCATGCAAATGCATGAAGCCTTGCAGACACGAGCACATGTTGAAGGCAATTTTTTTTATATCACTTGGGACTACACAGACGCAGAAACCATATATATATATACAGTATAATAGGCTATGACGTCATTATACACAAGGCGGGGCTCACAGAAGTAGCTATAAATATTTGTAATCATTTATTCAATACTTTGTAAAGTAGCTTACAATATTCTATTTTTGAATAAAAAGGATTTTGACACTGAAACTTTTAAACAATTTTACACCAACTTCACTATTATCAAAGTGACAGTATAAAAATAATTGGGAGGGGGGCTAATGTAGCAAAATAAATGACAGCATGTGTATTCAATGTGTAGTTTTATATCAGGACAAAACAAGTGTTTGTGATGTTTTGTGTGTGAATGCATGTGCGTACGTTGTCGCACATTTATGCTTGTTTTGTTAATATCTCATTAACATAATGTAAAAATGTCACTCTTTCACACATTAATATGTTTAATCTGTTGTTTACAGAACTGGTCAGATTTGTTTCTGTTGTGTGATAGAAGAATATCAGATCAAAAAGTATGCCATGGTTTGTACTTTCTCCGGTTGAATGGATCATGTCGTTCTCATGTGGGTAAAGAAAGTGGTTTTGTGCATTTTTCAACATCAATACATATTTACACACATATTTGCAGAGCTTGCTTCCTGATTTATTAACTCAGCTCTCCACTGTGGCAGAAATCTACTGCAAATAGTTTTTTTGGACTAATTTCTAAAGAACTCATGTGCTGCAGAAATGGTCGGCCAGGTTTGTTCGCCATTCGGCTGACGCTTGATGCAGCAAAAGAGCAAAAACACCTCAAGCTCTTTAATTCACCGGAGCCGTATATCAACGTCTTAATGTATCCACGCCCTGAGGGTTCTGAACCACAACGTAAAACACATTTTCTCTGTCGACTCGCGGTTTAAGTGTGTTTTAGTCTCTGCTTTATGGCACAGGATGGAGCTTTTATGGGTCGGCCGGCTCCATTTGGCGGACTGCCATCAGCCGGACTGAGAGTTAGAAGTGACTGGGAGACTATTTGGCAAGAGAGTGGGGAGAGGAGAGATACTGAATCAAGCAGGTGTGACTCTAACAGTGTCTGTGTGAGCAAATTTGCTCTATTGCATTAGTGCGAAAATGCACTGAATTAATGCAGAATGTCCTGTATACGCTTTTTATCTCTTTTGTCTGTTTATAATTGTGTTGGGACTATGGATGTATAGTAAGCTGATGGAACTACCCACTCCTTTATGTTACACTCAACTGGCAATCAATATCAAATCTTGTGTGCTGATTCCGAAAATAAAACCATACTCATCTTTTTATACCTTTGTTATTAATATTTTCTATGATTTATAATTTAGGAACAAAACCCTTCCTAAATACTCTGCTTCATCTATTGTTCAAGAAAGACTCGGATTCTATTTAATTATAAAAGGAAAATGAGTAAGAAGTCAAGTGAAATAACATGAATTTGTAACATTTGTTCATTCACCTGCTGATGCGTATTACCAGGAACTGTATGTGATGGCATTTTGATTTTAAAGGGCAGTGCAGTGACTTTTGAAGAAGGAGTGTACAGAAGAAGCAAACTTGGAGCCACAAACACACAGACAGAGTTGGACTGCTGTGCATTGACTCAGAGTTATCTCCTGGAGCCGTACCGTAACCTTAACCTAACCCTGAAACAAACCTTAACCAAAAAAGTCTGACTAGCATTTTGTGAGAACAGGTCTCATGCCCACAGTAACAATTTCACACAGACACACAAAGATAACTCATGTCAGTACGTAAGGGTGTGTTTTGTGTGTGATTTTGTTCGGATGTGTTAAGAAACTGGACAGTCACAGGCATCATTTCAGACCTAAATATGTCATACCACAATCTTGCACACACACACACACACACACACACACACACACACACCACACACACACACACATATCCTGCCTGTTAAAATGCCCAGTTTTCCATCAGTCCAGTGGCAGTAGTCTGACAGCAGGACCTCGATTCTGTCCCCTGCCTCTGAAGCCTTTTGTACTATATACTGTGTAATCTACCCTCCCTCCCTCCTGTGTTACTTTTGAACCCTGGTAAGGATGTATATAACCTCTGTTAACAGTTATGACCTGCTCGAGTGCTTAGAGGTCAGCTAATCCACATTGTCTGTCTTATAACTTTAATTTAAGTTCCTCAGACATCATAAAATACAATTCAGCACTTTTATTGTCAAAATGGAAAGTGTGGGGGAAACCGGAGTACCCGGAGTAAACCCATGCTGGCACAGGGAAAAAGTCCACACAAGATAATCTCCTGACAGTTGATTGGTGCAACTCTGCAGACCTCCACCTGCAGCTTCTGGTCTGCTGCTTTATGGACCAAGTGCCATTAAAAAAGAAGGCAGCCAGTAAACTTGCAGCAAAAGCCATGACCTGGAGCGCATCCTTCCACCAACTGCGGGAGGCAGCTTTCTTTGCAAGCTGAGCAGACTAGTCTTTGATGTGTGCCTGCAAAGACTGGACGATTGCTGAGTCCAAAACTGGATTCTGTAATATAATTACAGTCTCCAGCATACTCCAGGACTTCTTCTGAAGGTCTTTTAGCACAGCCTTGCACTCAATAATTTCACATTTTTTAGTAATAACTTCACTTTAATTACAATTAATTGTTCTGACTTGGGAACAACCTTTTTGACTTTTCTGGTGCACTCCTACCCCTCCGACCCCCCCCAGACAGGGGCATAACACACAAACACACACACACAAACACACACAGTATATACTGTATGAGTATACACATATAGGTGGCTAAAATTTCATCTATCACTTCTACCTTTGCCATATGGAACTAATCCACAGCAGCAATGTGAGTGTGTGTGTGCATGAGAGGGTGTGTTTGTGTGCACGTGTATATACCTTTATATGTGTGTCTGTGTGTATTGATATTGTTGAAGTTATATTACTGTGGGGCTGTCGGACAGAGGAAGTGTGTCTTATTACTGAAGGAAAATGATGCTTTATGTGTGTGTTTTGTGTGTGTGTGTGTGTGTCTGTATACAGGTGTGTGGGTTAAAGTAATCTTGCCTGGGTCTCTAACCAGGTCTTTCCACAGTGAACTGGCCTGATTACATTTCTTATTCATACCTACGTGCACACACATGCACACCCCCGCGCACACACCACTGCCTCCCCACTTCTATAAATTCATAAAGCTTTATATTTCTGTCCTTGCTGCTCTGTAAAGCATTTTGTAAAGGGATTTGTTTCTTTTAAAATTCTCTTTTTAAATAAAGTTGACTTAAGTCCACACAACACCCAGACGATAAGTGTGATGTTTGTTACCCAGAGACTATTCTCACCATGACAACTGTCTCTGTGGGGGAAGCAGAGGTGTTACAAACACAAAAAAATAACATGCATGCACATACATTGCAATCCATATACACTAATGACAAATAAATGTTGCAGTTGCACTTGATGCAATCACACACACACACACACACACACACACACACACACACACACACACACACAGAGAAAGACGACTATCACAAAGCGCCGTTTCCATATGATGAAATATCACTCACACATCGACACACAGACTTTCCTTCAGTCACACACAGTCTCACATTAAACAACAAGCATAGACGCACACAGACACACAATAACAAACACACACAACGCTCATTTCACACGTTGTTTCCCAGCTGTGAGGTCAGAGAGGTGCAATCTGTTAACGTGAGAAAAACTGATGAATCTGTCTTCCCTGTCAACACACTCTCACTCTCTCTCTCACACACACTTACACAGACACACACACAAACCCATCAGAATAACTGGGTCAACTACGTTCCAGCACATACTGCCACACAAGACCAGCTGTTTTCACAAATACAATTGAGAATTTAAAATTTTCCTTTTCTATATCAAAAGGCAGCAGAAGCCTCAGCTGTGTCTTTCAGCCACTGAAGTGCCTTTGAGCAAAGTATTCAACCCCCAGCTGCTGTGGTGGATCTGCACTGTAGTGTTGATCTGTTGAGAACAGTTTTCAGTCAGTGTGCACTGCACGAATAAAGGTTTGAAATCTCTCACAGTGTAACAGTGTGATTTCACCGGGAAGGTTCACACTTACATACTTGTCACTAGTAAAGTGAAGTGTTAAAATAGTATTTTCATACAAAAACATCAATCTTTCGTAATTTGACCTGAGAGCTGTAAGATTATATGCACACACACACACACACACACACACACACACACACACACAATAACACAATACATTAACACAGTAAGTGTAGACAAATGTGATAAATGTGGCTGATGTTTGTCTTCTGACTTTGACTGTAACAACACAAGTATTTCAGTATAAACTGAGTTAAGATTTTTTGTCAAACAATACAACTCATGGCCAAGCTAGACAGTTTGGTTACAAAAAACTACTTGGTTAGGTTTAGGAAAAAAGATAAGTAAGTTACGTTATAAAACTGACCTAACTTAAGTAAATTAATGAAATGTATCTAAAAAGATTCAATGAGTGTAATTAAAGCTGCAAGCAGCAATGAACGGGCCCCTCGCAGTACGTGCATGTCGGGGCATGTTACATTATGTGCCAGCATATCAT